GGGGGGGAGCACTTGAAAGCACACTGGCGCACTGCAAACCACACTCAAATAGGTAGATCGGCCGCTGGTAATGATGCACAGCTTGCTTTCGAGAGCATGTTGAGCCTGGTCACACCGATAAGTGATCGAATCGCGCGTCTCGAAGACGCACAAGCCTAGCCGCTTGATCGTACACCAGGCTGTCAGCCACCCACACCGATACAAGCAGAGTCCATCGTCACCACCACAGGGTGATGCGCCACTCTACACTGCAGTCCCAGCGCAAGCAGCAACAACAACGCTAGCTGGTTGTTTCTTGAACTGGTACACTGAACATACATGACAAACCGTTAAGTGAAAACGCGAACAAAATAGGCGAGCAGATACAAAGCATCAGTAAGGATTTTGGTGGTACTGTACCATACACCGTTTGAAATTTCGTGGAGCCGTTACGAACCGATAGCATTGCATTCCAGAGCTGGAAACACTTGGTCTGGGAGCTAACACTCAAGATGGATAGCGCCGCAAACAAGCGATTCTATACTTTCGACAAGAAGAAACTCACGCGCAAATCATCGTCGCTGCGCATGCGCTGACGGCAGCTCCGTACGTCAAATCCCGACGCGTATCGCTCTCTAGCTGCACAATTGCTGGCGTTGTTGACGCATGCGCTCCAGCTTCCCACCTGTGGTCGGTCAATTACCTCACATGACAAACTGGCAGCACCGTCCTACCTTTACACAAGCAACGCCAAGCCATAACAGAACAAAGTCACCGTCAAGACAGGTTGTCCCCGACTGAAGTCGAACCAGAGGCCTGGAGGTATGTCCTGGAGGTATGCCTTCCGCTCTTCCGCTGAGCTACAGGGGCTTGAGGGACCCTGAAATGTGTTGAAACATAACCATAGTCTGGAGGGTTTGTGGGTTACAGGCTGAAAAATGCTGAATGAATAGCGAAGCAAACTGTCGCAAGCATGTAACCACCGATCTGCATCCATCAATTCATTGAATTGATTATTGTACATCTTCTTTTTAGCCAATCCGGAATGAATAAGTACCAGCTGATTAGTTCGTTTTGGCTTATCATTTTCTAGTCAAATATATGGTATCTGTCCGGATTCCCGCCCGAAATCTGTCATTTACTGCATTTGAATAAAGGTCCGAGCTCAAGTGTTGCAGCAATGTCAGAGACGAATGCGGCTAATGCTTGTGCTAATAATGGAGAGATTGGTGGCACCCACTGCACCATCCCTGACAACATTCGCGTGGATGGCACAACGCTATGAGATTGAAATGAAGGCTGCAGCGGAGTTCCTGTCACCGCTAGACCGTGGATAGGTCGCGAATATCTGCAGGAGCCACTGGTCACTAATGCTGTTTTCATCCAGACTCAACACATGTACTTCGACTGCAGTATGAAATGTATATTTTGGATGGATAGCGCAAGCATTGCTATTGGGGGGTTATAAACGTTGATATAAAATTTGCTATTAACCCTTTCGCGAGCCACTTTAGTGAACTATAATATACAAATCTAGGATAGTCGGTATCAAAAGAAGGCATTTTGCCTCCTTTAAGGCGAGTGATGGACCACCTTCAA